ACACCACGAGCGTAGCTCTCATCCTGTAACTACACTTAGGTAATTACACGTGTGGTGCCCATATCTTAAGAAGCACATCAACAAACTGGAAAAGGTGCAAAGACATGCTACTAAGTGGCTCCCAGAATTGAAGGGCAAGAGCTACGAGGAGAGGTTAGAGGCATTAAATATGCCAAAAGTAGAAGACAGAAGAAAAAGAGGTGATATAGGGAAGATTTCCTGAGACCTAGAACTTTAAGAACAAGAGGTCATAGATTTAAACTAGCTAAACACAGATGCCGAAGAAATATAAGAAAATTCACTTTCGCAAACAGAGTGGTAGACGGTTGGAACAAGTTAGGGGAGAAGGTGGTGGAGGCCAAGACCGTCAGTAGTTTCAAAGCGTTATATGACAAAGAGTGCTGGGAAGACAGGACACCATGAGCGTAGCTCTCATCCTGTAACTACACTTAGGTAATTACACTTAGGTAATTACACTCCCAGAGGAATTGACAGGGTAGATATAGATAAACTGTAACACGGGTGGCACACAAACAAGGGGACACAGGTGGAAACCAAGTACCCAACCGAGACACAGGGACGTAAGAAGAAACGTGTGCAGTGTCACAGGTAAGAGATGGAACACATTAGGCAGCGATGAGGCACATTAGGCAGCCCATACCTGGGCTGACCCTATGCACAGATCCAAGTGTAGAGACGAGAGAGCCCAGGAGGCTCAGAACCCGTACGTCAGGCGAATGACAGGTGAGAGGCGGAACCAAAGAGCCAGAGCCCAACCCTGCAAGCACAATTAGGCGAGCACATAACACCCCCGACACAGGAAAACGTACCACGGAACAGGCATCTCCACCGTTGCTCATGGAACAAGGTGGAGGCGGGGCCCCGAACTTAAGCATGGTAGGACCAGCATAGGAGAGGGGACAGGATGAGTACATTACAGTCAGGAGCCGCCTCGTATAGGTCAAGAGGCCTCCTGCAGTCACCTGTGATCCGAGGAAGGAAGTGGGTGGTGAGAACAAGAGCTGCCACGTATGGGCCAATAGCCCTACAGCAGGCATCTCGGTTTGTATGTTTTACGTTCTCAAGTACGTATGTACACCCATTTCTACTCCCAAAAACAAAACAGGGTCAGGACGAAGGAGACGCCAGACCGCACCAACTCACCTGCAGAACATAGGCGCTGAAGGGCCAGGGCCCAAGCCTATGAGAACAGAGCCGCCGGAGGCGGCCAGGGTATCGTGCACCCGTAGGAGAGAAAAACCGGGAGCACCGCCCGCGGAAGGCAGGCCAGAGCCGCTCATGACGGAGAAGAGGAGGGGAGTGGCGAAGGAGGCGCCCCCACCCAAAATCACAGGGAAAAACCCTGTGACCTCCCCATAGCGGCACTCCAGAACACCCTCAAGAGGAACGGGGCACGGACTGGAGAATGATAAGGGCAAGAGGCGAAACCCCCGAGAGAAAATTGACGCAGAACACCAGCACGTGTGCACACCGCCCTGAACCAAAACAAACTCACACGACGCATGCGCAGGACCCGAAAGAAAAGCAGCCCAACAGGTTGGGCTACACAAGTCCATCCTACTCCATCCAACAACAGAGGAGGAAAGTGGCTCAACAGGTCGTATCCCGAGCAATCCGTTAAAGAAACAGGCCAACTCATGGAACAGGAGCCAACTTAGCCGACCCATGTAAGGAAAACAACAAACCGAATCGGAATCCAAGCGGGCTACCAGTAGCCCAACATGGCGACAAAGAACCCAACTGGCTACAAGCAGCCCAAACCGGCATCCCGGACCAGAACGGATGAAAAACGAGCAGTGCAGTGACACAGCACGGAGAGAAGAGATATGAAGAAAAGAACGAGAAGGCCAAAAACCCAGAAGCTGCCCGGAATAGGACTAACAAGCCCTAGAAAGGACCGGAGAGAAGCCCCACCAAATGACGACAGACGTACCAGTAAAACAGGAAGGAGCAAAACCGTTCCCGAACCTTCGGGAACACATAGAAGCAAACACAACGGACGAAGGTACAGAAAAACCCAGTCGCACTCAAGACCAAAAGTCATGCAGAACCCCAAGAAGAGGGGGACATGACGGAGAAGTCCCGTCCCGGAAAAAAGGGGCGAAAAACAGAGAAAAGCACCCACCGACAGGACAGAAGCAACGGGCATAATGGACAAGGAACCGAGCCCGGAGAGGGGCTGATGCCCAAGTACTTGTGTGGGGAAGGAAAAAACCCCACTTCACAACCGCAAGCCCCGCCCAGAGGGGGTAGAAAAATCTTGGCGGGGTCCAACGGGGCCTGAGGCCCCCACGTCAGCCCCACCCCAACCCCGGGAACCCACCTGGCAGGCCCCGGGGCTGAGCTGTCCCCCCAAAGCCCCAGCCTCAAGAAAAAACCGGGACAGCCATGAAAAGCACTAAGGAAAGAAGCCCACTGGCAGCTCTTACAACAGAGTCTGGAGGAAACAGGCTCGAATGCCCCAGTCGCTACCCCGTAAGGGGAAGTCCCCGAGACCAACTGAGTCTCAAAACCATGGAAGCCCCGCCCTGCCCCGACCCCGAACCCACAGACGGTAAAGACCTGGATGTAGGGAGGAAGGGGGGGGGGACCCGACAAGACCACCAACCAAAACAGGGCAGCCTCGGGGCTTCCGAGGAGCAAACAACCAGCTGGGTAACCGAGTCACAAACAAGGAACAAAACTTGCAGGACCCCGGGCCAAAGGTGTCACCGACCCCACAGGCTGCAGACGGAGGCAAAACAGCAAGTCACCCCTAAGACAAGGGGACAGAGCAACCCTCGAACTCGCACAAAGAGAGTGGGGGGGGATTTCGGAGCCACATCCATCGGGCCCACGCTCCCCGTAGGGATTTCCCAGGGTCCTGAGCGTTTACTATAAGAGGACTCGCGCTCAGGTAATCCCAGGCAGGGTACTACTAACCGGTGCCCATGGCTACCAAAATCAACGTTCTAAGAGCTGAACCTCCGGGACGTGTACACTTACGGGGACCAAGCAGGGGAAACCACCGGAAGAAGGAAGAGAACCCAGCACAAATGGGGAAAGAACCAAAGGCAGAGCCCCCACCAGATAGACAAAAAAAAAACTCTTTGTAAGAGTACAGCGTACCCAGGCGAAACAGAGCTGGCTGCTATGATTGGTGAAAACAAGCTGCGCAGCACCCTGCGCCCCGCCAGTGCAAACTGCCCCTTACCCTAAGGCGAACAAGGGAGACAGAACCCCCTATCACACAAAGGGCGGCCAAAACCGAGCAGCAAACGGCCTAGCAGAAGCAGAACCCAAGGAACTTGTGGAAGGTAGCCCCAAGCCTCAAGGGGAGTACTTACAGGGCACCTAGGGAAAGTAACCCTAGGCGTATGCAGCCCGAGTACTGGAGACTCACTCCCGGCTCACGCACCACCTAGAAGACAGACACCACACTCTAGGTACAGTGCTGAAACAACCACTGGAGCCGGAGCACACAACCGGTACCATTAGCGTCAGCTGAAGAACTGAGGTGTGGATCGCCGGCATGGCAGGTCTGGGGCTCCCCCCTCCCCCTCCCGGGGAGGGGGGAGCTGCGCAGAGAGCGGCGTGATGACGGGTGATGTCATACTAGTTTGCTCGTTTTTGTTTAGGGAGTTTTATCCACTCGTTCGGTTTCACCAGAATAGGGGTTTGTTTTGGGACGCCTACCTTTCTGGGTGCCTAACCCGGTTGATGGCAGACCTAGAATGCATCCAACCACACGGGGGTTTCTATAAGCTAATGCTCCCCTTGCCTCTCTAGGGGGATCCAAGTTCTGGCTCGTGGTTCCCGGAAGGACCATAAGAACTTTGATGCCAAAGTCTGACATTAGCATATCAGCCTGGTAAGTTCCGGGGAGCCGTAGGGGCTTCCCCCAGAAAGAAATATTGTATGTGACATACTTTGGTCATGATGGACCAGAAAAGTTAAGCAATTTATGGGTGCTGAGTGAGTAAGCGCTCAGAGATGCTAGCCCCAGTGAAGACTCTGTGGGACAGCAGTTGCCGCAAAAATAATTCTTCATAATTATTTCATTGTCTTTCAATTTTTTTTTTGCTAGAATATTATTCAATAGTGTGTAATTTTTTAAACCTGATATAATCAAATGAGTGGAACATCACTATGCTGAAAAATATGGTGCGCATATTATTCACACATGTAGCATAGTGTTTGCTGTGTTTACCCTATACAGTATACACATTACAAATGACTACATTTTTATACATTTTGAACCAAGCCATTATGACTATATATCACTTGGAAGGGATCAGGATAAGACTTTGGGATGGGACAGGGGAAGAGGAATGTTGCCCAACCACTTGGACGGTCTGGAATTAAACACTGACCTGCATGAAGCGAGACTGTCGCTCTACCGTCCAGCCCAAATGGTTGGGTGGAAGTGGTAGAACTTTTAGGAAACGACTTGTTGTTAGGTCACACCAGCCTTAATGACTGGTGACGATCCAGTAACAAGGTGGCCAGCCACTACTTACAGGTGAACTGCCAAAAGACCATGTGGATCATTTTGGGATCTTGTTTTCTGTGTTGTGTTTACCTTGCTGTTCTTTGTTTCACTCTTCTCTACATTTCTGGTGACCTTTTCTTGGTCTGAGTAATCTCGTATCTTCAACTTCCTGTACCTCTATAGAGGGGGCCCAGGATTTATCCTCTGGTCCCCTGGTAGGCTTACAATGACTCTAGTGCCTGGTGTGATTCAAAGTCAATGGAGCTATCCAAGTTGGTAGTGTAGCAATAGGATGCCTCCACAGAAGCCCTCCAAGAAACAGTTTTATACCATTTTTATAATAATATAATGCCATCAAAATGTTGTATTTGAATGCCAAACTATACAAGTTAAGCCAACATTTAATTCTCCATAATAAATCAACTACCCTGGACAATATTTAAGTATTGAGCATAGTTAGTAATAACCTGCCACTGGTACTGCACTAACATATATATAAATAACTTACTTGATAATTGGTAACATGGATCTTGGACTCAGGGTGCTTCACTGCTTCTCCTATGTTCCTCATGAAAGTGTCACACAAGGAGCAATAAAATGCTGGCAACGAATGAAGAAACTCTATACCTGGAATGTTTGAATGGTAAAAAGTAAAATGGACAAATAAGTTTACTTAAATAACATAATTCAGTGTTGAATATAAGAAAATTTTGCTCCCTTTGTATTACTTCAAGCTACCCATCTGGGGCCAGATTCACGAAGCAATTACGCAAGCACTTATGAACCCATACATCTTTTCTCAATCTTTGGCGGCTTTGTTTATAATGATTAAAGAGTTGATGAGCTCCCAAGCACCAGGAGGCTATTTAAAACAATAACAACAATTGATTGGGAAGTTTTCATGCTTTAAACTGTTTAATAAATGTAACCAAAGCTGTCAAAGATTGAGGAAAGATGTTATCGATTGTAAGTACTTGCGTAAGTGCTTCGTGAATCTGGCCCCTGGAGTATAACAAACAAAATCCCACCAAGCTTTGATACCCCCCAATAAAGGCATGCAGGTATACTGCAGATTTGGCATACAGTACTTGATCAACCACTTTACCAAATGAAGAATACTTTCAACCACTGTTGAATGTAATGAAATGCCTCAGCCCCTTGAGACTCCCTGAAGCTATCTTGCTCAGATGGCTTTTAACTAGTAGGCCACATCAGCCGTGTAGTTCTGTTTGACCTATCGGGCACCAGAGCAAGAACCTGGCCTCCCCTTCCCCCTCCCCTCACAGAATTACAAAGAGCAGGCGACACTCTGCCACCCAACTGGGAAAGCATCCAGGTCTGTGAATCAATACAGACCACTGTTAGGTTCAAAATAACTAAAACCCTGAAGCTGTCAAACGAATTCTCCAAATAATATAAACATATTATAAAATCTGTTAAAACTAGCATAAGCTCATTTGCCCCTTCAAGATGACCTGGACAAAAGTGTATGGACCTGCTTGATACCTGGTTGATGGGGTTCTGGCAGTTCTTTTACTCCCCAAGCCCAGCCCGAGGCCAGGCTTGACTTGTGAGAGTTTGGTCCACCAGGCTGTTGCTTGGAGCAGCCCGCAGGCCCACATACCCACCACAGCCCGGTTGGTCCGGAAAGTCTTTTAGAAAACAGTCTAGTTTTCTCTTGAAGATGTCCACGGTTGTTCCAGCAATATTTCTTATACCTGTAGTCACTGGGAGGATGTTGAACAGCCATGGACCTCTGATGTTTATACAGTATTCTCTGATTGTGCCTATGGCACCACTGCTCTTCACTGGCTCTATTCAGCATTTTCTTCCATATCGTTCACTCCAGTACGTTGTTATTTTACTGTACAGATTTGGGACCTGTCCCTCCAGTATTTTCCATATGTATATTATTTGGTATCTCTCTCGTCTCCTTTCTAGTGAGTACACATTTGGAGAGCTTTGAGACGATCCCAATAATTTAGGTGCTTTATCGCATCTATGCGTGCCGTATATGTTCTCTGTATTCTCTCTATTTCAGCAATCTCTCCTGCTCTGAAGAGGAAGGTGAGTACTGAGCAGTACTCAAGACGGGACAACACAAGTGACTTGAAGAGTACAACCATCGTGATGGGATCCCTGGATTTGAAAGTTCTCGTAATCCATCCTATCATTTTTCTGACTGATGCAATATTTGCTTGGTTATGCTCCCTAAATGTTAGATCGTCGGACATCATTATTCCCAAATCCTTGACATGCTGTTTACCTATTATGGGCAGATTCGATTGTGTTTTGTACCTTGTATTATGTATTCATTCACTCCAGCCTGCATCTCCAGCTTTTTCACTAGCCTCTTGTGTGGTACTGTATCAAAGGCTTTATGGCAATCCAAAAATTTGCAGTCTGCCCACCCCTCTCTTTCTTGCCTGATTTTTGTTGCCTGGTCGTAGAATTCAAGTAACCTTGTGAGGCAGGACACAGTGAGGCAGGACCACCACTTGGCAAATGAAATTTAATGTAAATAAATGCCATATTATGGAATGTGGAATAGGAGAAAATAGACCACACACACAACCTACAAATTATCGGGAAAAAGCTTTAAAATTTCTGATAAAGAAAGAGATTTAGGGGTGGTTTTAAATAGAAGACTTTCACATGAAAACCACATAAAAAAACAGCGTTGAATGTAATGAAACGCCATTTTCTGGGTGAGTCCCGGAGGCTCCCCGGAGGCTCCCCGGAGCTTACCAGGCTGATATGCAACCCGTTCTCGCACTTTCTTACGGTCAATATCGACTTATTAAATACGTGCATATGTGGCATACTAAACATACTAGTTTACCTTGAAAAGCTTCATAGAAAACACCGACCTTACCTAACCTTCTTAGTATGCTAAGATAAGCATCTTATTGCTTCGTAATTACAATTATTACTTAACCTATACCTAACCTTCTTAGTATGCTAAGATAAGCATCTTATTGCTTCGTAATTACAATTATTACTTAACCTATACCTATAATAGGTTAAGTAATAATTGTAATTACGAAGCAATAAGATGCTTATCTTAGCATACTAAGAAGGTTAGGTAAGGTCACCAAGAAGGTTAGGTAAGGTCGGTGTTTTCTATGAAGCTTTTTAAGGTACACTTGTATGTTTAGTATGTCACATATGCACATATTTAATAAGTCAATATTGACTATGCGAAAGTGCAAGAACGGGTTGTGATATGCTAATGTCAGACTTTGGCATCAGTCGTGTGTACAAAGTTCTTATGGGCCTACCGGGGACCACGAGCCAGAACCTGGCCCCCTCAGAGAAGCAAGGGAAGCAATGGCCTATAGAAACCCCCGTGTGGTTGGAAGCATTATATGTCTGCCATCGACCGGGTTAGGCACCCAGAAAGGTAGGCGTCCCAAAACAAACCCTATTCTAGTGAAAATTGCAACCAAAAGCCGAACAAGTGGATAGAACTCCCCAAACAAAAACGAGCAAACTAGTATGACGTCATTTGTCGTCGCGTCACTGTCTGCGCAGCCACCCCCTCCCCAGGGGGGGGGAAGGGGGAGCCCCAGACCTACCGCGCCGGCAATCCACACCCCAGTTCTGAGGCTGGATGTCAAAAACACGCGAAAAAACGCCGACCGGAGGGAGGGAGGGATGTAGGGGATCCTCCGGGACTCACCCAAAAAATGGCGTTTCATTGCATTCAACGCTGGTTTTCTGGGGAAAGCCCTTACGGCTCCCTGGAGCTAACTACCCAGAGAGGAAAAGAATAGGGACTGATCCGGGAGGCGGTCGCTGTACACTACTCAACCTGAAGCAGAGACAACAGGCCGCATCCGCCGACCCAAAGTGACACAGGTCCGACTGGGCCCAGGAACGTGTACAAGGTAACGAACAGCTAAGGAACCTGTTCGACCACCAAAATTTCCATGCCCGAACATCCTCCCAGGACACAGTACCAAAGACGGTGGCAAGAGCAGCGAACTTGCGGATGTCATGGGCACAGAGATATACCGCAGGCAGGAGAGCCTGAAGAAGCCTGCGGACGACCTGGGAGACCCGCACCCTCTAACAGGGAAGAACGGAACTGGAGCAACCCAAATCGCATCCATGGACCCAGAAGCCGTGGCGTACCAACCACGGCGGAGAGCCGCAACCGGACAAAAACAATTGCACCCCCGGCCTAACCAACCAAGCATCAACAACCCAGGGACCCCTCCGGAAAGCAGCAGTCTCATCCTTCGCCAGAAAAGAAGGAGAAGGCAGCAGACGACCAAACCGAACACTTCAACCGAAGGAGCAGAAAACCTCTGCTCAGGAGGAGAGCATGAAACTCACCTACCCGACCCCCAGAGGCCAATGCCAACCGGAAAAAGAGGCATCGAAAAATAAACCTGAACCGAAGGGGCCACAAGAAAACGAGAAGAAAGAAAAGAGCACTCTGTCCAAAGACCAGGACAGCTCAAGCGGCGCAAGAACAGGCCGAAGGTGAAACAAGCACGAGACAGCTTATGAACGGTGCAGATGAAAGTCCGAAAGCAAGCCGAAGCAGCTCCGCCAGAGCCTTAGAAAACGAGGCGACAGTATGCGGCAAGTCGACGACCCCCAACCCCCAGCAGAAAAGCCAAGCCGACGCCAACAAACGCAGCCACCGAAGAAGGGACAGAAGAAAAAGAAAGGACTGCCAAAACACTCCATACTGCGCCAAGAAGCACACAGGTGGGACACCAACAACGAAGCCACCTGACCACCAACGGACGCGAGATCCACGAGTCAGAACATAATCAGCACTGCCAAGGGTCATCCGAGCCTAGGAAGAGGCGGAGCCGCAGGAAGATCTTGGGTGCGACCACCAAGGAAGCAGAGCCGGAAGCCCAAGCCAGCAAGAAGGAGATGGAACGTCTGCTGAACAGAAAAACTCCCCAACACAAGCAAGCTCGCCAGGGGATCGGAAACCACGGGTCCGACGTGAGACACCAGAGAAGGGACATCACAAGACCCTGAAAAAACCAACAGGCAGGGCAAGCCAGGAAAACAGGTAACCAAACCCGGCAACAGGAAGGCCAAAAGGCACAAACAAAACACACAACAGTGTGAAGGAGGAAATGAGAAAAGATCAGCAGAAACGCCCCAGCACCAGCGGCCAGGGACAAGAGCGAAGCAGGAAGACGAGAGAAATGCATGAGGAAGGGAAGTGGCGGAGGCCAACCCCACACCCAGCGACCAGTGCAGAGAAGAGCTCAATAGGCTCCGGAACTTGAACAGAAAGCGAATAATAGGCGAGGGGTGAGACGAAGAGCCCAAGCTCATCCCCAGCCAGCACAACGAGGCGAGGACAACGAGGTTAGGACAGAGAATCCAGGGCCTCAGAAAAGCAAGGGAACAAAAAACCCCAAACAAGGAAGGCGCCAGAAGGAGCAAGGAAGGGCCGCACAAAACGCCACAACCATACCCCTACACGCAGCCACAGTATCAAAACCGCAGCAAAACGTCATCACACGTCGTCGTAGCAGACGGGTGGAAACAGGCTAACATAGTTCCAATCTACAAAAGTGGCAGCAGGGAAGACCCCCTCAATTATAGACCTGTATCATTGACAAGTGTAATAGTGAAAGTATTGGAAA